CAGTGCCATGTTGTTTGTGTGTTTTTTGTCCAATTGTGAAAAATTAAGACGTGTTAACTGTTAACTCAAATCTTCCACAGGGGTGCAATTCGCAGTGAAAGTCATTACACTCATCTATGACACGGCATAGCATGGCTTTATAGCAGTTAGGGTCCCAGCTTTCATCGTGCTTGCTGAGGCCCAGGACGATGCTGGAACTGGTGGGACAGCTCAATGACCGGAGACGGGTATCTTCATCCCGTACCCCGTTGGGTGCTTGAAGTCGCCCGGAACTACCTCGGAACAGTACAAGATGGTACAGATCTACCATGAGCTATAGTTCCTTTTTTATAGCGTCATGGATGGTAATGGTCTGTCATAGTCCCCATGGTTATTTCATGTTATTTCTATTAAGCTACGAACGGTGCCGTCGGGTTCCACCGGTGGCCCAGACCAGAACTTGGCGCAACCGTGGTGGTGTTGCGACCGGTTTGGTGTGTCGATCATGTCTCCCAGACCGGAACTGGGACCAGTCTGGTCGTCTTTCGCGCAAGACAGGCTCTTGGGGACCCACAGTTTTTTTGCCTTAGAAGGGATGACTGACTAAACCATGAAAGGTTCACCCATAGCACCCGTAGCAGAAGACCTGTGGTGCTGAAGTCCTTTTTCTGACATCCCGCGGCCTGATTGACGAATCCCTATCCACCAAGCCGATCCCCCGTGTTCCAGCGGCTGTGGCAGTGCTGTCGAGCTACTCCAATCCGGATGACTGGGCAGACCTGACTTCAAGGCCATCGACTTACAGATCTGAAGCGAGATCTGAAGCGAAAGGCAGTGAAAGGTGCTGCATGATGATCTCATGATCTCTACTCTCTACTTTGTGATACGGTCGGTTCTTCCCCAGCCTAACAGGGACCACAACTCGAAGCGACCAGAGTTGAATTCCCCAACCCTGACAGCTAGTGACAGCTAGTTTGGAACCAAACACATGGGTGTGTGTATTATCCCAGACGCTCCATGGGACTGCCATAGGACTGCCGCCCCAGAAAGACCCCGACTTCAACCACCCCAACTGATCGGCAGTCCTGTGGCAGTCCCATGGAGCGTCTGGGTATGAACATGATCCCCTGGGTTCAGTTCGGGACAGTCCGATCAGTTGGCGCGGTGCGGGCCAGGCCGCGGGCGGGCCAACGGTCCGGCCAGGGGATCTCCACACACCATTGGCCGTGAGGACAGACTAGGTATCAAGAGGACAGACTGGGTGTCCAGTAGCCGCGTAGCCCTCACTAGCTAGGCTGTCTTGTGGGTTGTCTCAAGGGGTGGGTCCATAGTCCATCGGTTCTAAAAAGGCTGTCTTGTTCTTTCACATCAAGGTCTGGTTTGCATTGTACAGTAATTACCCAAAATCACGTTGGCCGTTCATACAGAACATGCGGGTAAAACATCTTGAGGGTAAATCATTGAACTTCAACGTGTCTAGCCATAGTCATAGTCACAGTCATTGGTTCATATCATATACCATATACTCTGAGATTCCAACCACCATGAATTTAATAAGATTTACTAAAGAACCATTGTTTAAAATTTACTATAGGGATTTTATGTCACAAAGCCAGGTCAATCAGTGTTTTACTGGTCTTTGAAATCGATTGGGAATATGGGATGTGTATGGATACACATAGTAGGGAGACCTTCGACCCATGTTGCGTTCCAACCCCCTATATAGGTTTGATTCGCAACATAGACTGATCTGCCCAGCGAGGGCCAGGGTGTTTCCTATTCAAACACACACCCATATGTTCTTACTTCCAACGTATCCTCTTTCACGGGGCCCTGGATCTGGAATCGAGTCTCCTTGACTGAAAGCTGAGTCTCTTCGAGCGAGCGTCTGCTCATTCCTGCGAGGTCCAGTCAGGCTTGCCATATGGGCCAGGCGAGGTGAACGCCTTTCTGGGACAATGTGAAATGAAAGCACCCTGACAAGTTAGAAGTTACTATTGATATTGTTGGCTTATATTGGTTGACTCAGAATATAAAAAATCATATGTGTTCAATTGTTTTCGTATGTTCTCATACCCGACGTATGGAACCTTAAATGTTGTGTTTACGCCAGGCTCGGCCAGTTGCTTGCATGCACATGTTTTGAAGGATAGAGAAGGCACTGCTTTGTTCTTTGATGCATTGTAAGTACTGTAAGTAGGCAACATCTCTGAGATACTCAATTACACTGTTGGTTGCTTTGCTACTGAACTTTGCCCGTCCAAAACATGTTAATTTGTTCTACTACCCATTCTGGTATATTGATTCCTTTGTACTACCCATTCTGCTTCCCACATATCCATTCCAAGCTGAGATGCTGAAAGCAGCACCTGCGCACCACTGGCCTGTGTGTATCACTCGTGGCAGGCTCACCTTTGCTTGCCCAATTATTGAGAAAGCCGTGGTGGCCCTAGTCATCGTCCAGCTCGAGGAGGCTTAATTGACGGCACAGCTCCACAGCTCCAAGCAGGATGGACATGGACCAAGTTACTAGCAAAGAGTTCTGCTCTCCTTTTTCAAGCATTTCAACCAACAACTCTTAGAACCATCTCCCAGGCCTTATGCCGACCGAGGCCGCCCCTGGAGATGTGGCCGAATCCCTCGCTGGCACCCGTACTCTTCGTGCCGGGCCCAGCGTCGGAGGAAGAGGTCAAAGGAGTCCATCTATCTCATGTCTTGGGGGGGTGTCGAAAAACCTGTCACAGTCGGGAAAACAATTTGAGAGATGGAAAATCCTGCAACTGAACCATCATCATCCACTGGGCCCAGGGAATGGGATGTACCGTGATATACTACAAGTGTATACCCAGACACTCCATAAGAGTTGGCATGTTGGGTGTGGGTCTTCCCATCACCCGGGCTCTTTGCCCGTCACCTTCATCCTGTCTTGGACCGTCGGACCTGTTTGTTCATACAGTGGGTGGTTAAAAAAGGAAAAACAATATACAACGATTCTGCCGGTATGGTGGAACTTGGATGAAGATTCGGGAGAAACAAGTCGCCTAAACGTTTGAGTAACCTCCAAAGGGTTGGATCCTGACACATTTTTTCAATTTTTCAAGTGAAAACCATGGCAGGAAGCCAGGAAGTTGGGAATTGGTTGCGGATTCTGCAGGGGGATGCTCTACGAAAAGCAGAACATAATTATTTATTAAAGAGAAATAGGCTGTTTGAAGAGAAATCGAGGTGCAAGTTGTGGAATATATGCAGGTTAATCGGAAAACATCGAGCGCAGCGAGGTTCCCGCGTTCTGAAAAGTTCTAGCAAACATCCTAACATGTTGTGGCAAAGCTGGCTCAAAGAGTGACTATCTCTTGAATAGACTCACTTCTATTCGGGCCAAAGTTCGAAGTCTGAAGATAAAGGCCCTTTGATTCATGTGCAATCGATGTGTAGTTAGTTACGGAACCACATCATTGCTTGTGTCCAAGGCCGTTTCGGAGAATAGCGAAGCTGAACTGTTGCGACGGCGGCTGCGGGGGGACCGAGGGTGGAGTGAAAGGAAGAGGAAGCGGAAGGCAGACGAAAGAGAGAGAGAGAGAGACAGAGTTGCGGAGAGATGGGAACAGAAGTGAGAAACTAGTCTAGCTATAGTAGCTATATGTGTGTATCACCGATTCACGTTTTAGATGAAACACAGAAGAAACCAGAAACACACATGTTTCCAAGGCCTCTTCAATGATGACCCGTTGGACCACCCAAAAAGAAGAAGCGTGGAGTGGAGAGTGGAGTGGCCAGTGGAGTGGAGAGTGGAGTGGTACGTGGATCTCTGTGTTTTTGTCGCAGCCCCAAAACGGATAGGAGGAAGGTCCAGGCAGATATGGACATTCTTCTTCCACGCTGACAGTCAAGACTCAGGAATGCCCCTGGAAGTCCAGGCGACGATTTTCAGGTTTAACTCGGTGGCTATAGAGTTAGGCCATTTCCAACTCTTCGCTGGTCCCTGGCGAATCGTCAGCCCTGGACAAACTACTTCGAGCTGGAAACGACGGACAAACGACTGATATCCACCTGATGGACTCCCAGATCTGCCGCAAACGAAGATCTATATTTGCAGCAGCTGGCTAGTACCCTACACCTCCAGTCGTACCTCCTCAGAAGATGCGACTGGACTCTCCTGGCACCCACACCAAACACCTCCTAAGACGGGTGCTTGCATGGTTCTCATAGTATGGGGGTGTCCCACTACCTGGTAGCAGTTGGTAAACAACCAGCATCATGCACTGTTTCAGGTCGGTAATGGCATCTACCCATCTCATGGTCCTCATGGTTTGAGTTTGACCAATTCGGTGGGGTTTGACCTTGGTCAGCGTCGGTCAGCGTTAGGCCAGTGACCTGGCAGCGCTTGCAAGGGATCCTGGAGGCGGCGTGGCAGCGGGAAAGCAGCGGTGTGGCATCAGACGGACCAGTGGCGTGACGTTCCAATAGCACGAGGTGAAATCTCTTCAGAGAAATGAGCTTCCAGCTGCAAGAGGAACGTATGTGGGATCTGTAACCAAAAAGCAAGTGAGCCTTACGTATTGAGCCTCTATAGCAAGGGACTCTGTGGATCTCTCTGGTTCTTCAAGAGATCGGATGGTGCACCAAGAGACACCATCAGCTCTTTGGACACAATTCCCCATGAAACCTCGGACATGAGACTGTCTCATCACACAAGGGAAATGATCCTTGATGATCCATGTCCATGATGTTTAATTTCATTGAGATCCTTGAAATTCCCATGAGGTATTTCCATTGAGCTATGATTTCTTGAGATATCTTGACCACATGGAAACGCTGGCTCAAGATCCGCCCAATTCTGCAGACGGAGCTGTCTTTCAAAGCTGCAAAGGTCGTGAAGAGATGCTATCAGCACTTGCAATAGTCAGTCTTTGCCCATACACGAAGCTATACACATCCATACAGACTGTATACACGAAACACATCTACAATCTATGACTCTATGACCTACTACTTTTCGATCAACTGGAAGCAGCTCTTGACATTGAACCGTTTCCCTCATGGCGTCAGATGTGAAACCCACTGGCGTCCGTTTGGAAGAATTGGCTGTGGAGATGACATTGCCGGCAGATCATGCTTCTGTGCTGAAACCACTTGTGAATCACATGGAAACTATTTAAAAACACCTGGAAGTCCTTGTTCATGTACAAACAAGTCTGTGTTTGACGTGTATGTGTTCAACCTTCCTGTGCTTCAAGCAGATCTTCCAATCATCAAGATTCGAGAAAGACAAAGTCATTATAGACCCAAAAGACTATACAAACGATCACCGACATGGCAGCTGTGCCGGTGATCGTTTCAGCTGAACGTCCTTCGAATTGATCAAGTCCGACCTTTCCTTAGCTATCCGGTAGTCTTAGCATGGTCCCAGAGATTCATAGTTAGGACGCTACTAGTAGCTCCTGGCCTTACTACTAGGAGCAAGGACGCTACTAGGAACAAGAACGCTACTAGTATTGGATGTTTGGAGACGCGCGTAGAACGGTCATTCCCCGGAGCTTCATCGACCACGAGGGCGCGTCTTACACGTTGCACGTTGCACCGCCCAGGCAGCGACGGTGGCACCTGCGGCGCGTGTCGTCTCGACTTCCACAGCTGTCTCGTCCCCGGCCGTGGCGCCGTATGAGGACGGAAGAGTTGGCGTGGCGGCGTGACCTGCGGCGTTTCTCCGTTCCAAAAGCTCCAAGTGACCTGCGTTATGGAAGACTTTCAACCCCCCTGAAGTATGAAGAGGTGTCTCAATCCAAATGTCGAGGGGCTATTAATAGAGCTTAGATGACACTTGGGCAAAAGTAGAGGTTGATACTCCAAGACTACAGGCATAAGCCAAGGACGGTACGCAACCTGGCACAGTGACCAGTGCTAACCACTTGACAACAAGGGATTTCAGCAGTTCACAGGTGAGTCATTGCAACTTATAGGTGTTCTTATAAAGAATCTTCCCTTCACTGAAACATCGTTGCCTTTTTCTTTGCGTCGTTCACTTCTGTGTGCTTGGTAATTACACCATATACTGTAGATCTAAGCATGAAAAATGAACAGAATAGTCACAGATCGAGTACGTACTCGGGTTTCACTTTTTATTTATACGCTTCTGTCCATGTTCACTGTCCACTCACTTCTTGACCAGGGCTTGGCTGATCCAAGCATCGTCAAGAAGAAGCGCGCCAAGAAGAAGGCCAAAGCCAAAGCCAAGAGTGATGCATTGACTGCGACTGCGATGACAAGGCCATCAGACTTCACCAGTGTGAAGACCTGGGACATGATGCCAGCGCTCCGGACGCAAGACTGGCCGGGATTTTTTCGTCGTCCAAAGCAGCAAGCCTGGTGTTCGAGGCGGCTGTGGGACGGGGTGTTGTTACTTGGACTGGGTGCTAGACCAGAAGGAAACCCCAAGTATATAGTGCTTCGCACGATCAATACAGTTTGCCTGAAGTAGATCACATACAACATCATATCACCACCTCAACAGAACTATACGGATAGACATGACGATATATTTTCGATGTATTCACACCCAGTCTGTCTTCACCCTAAACCCTAAAACCTTCTGCACACCTTTGCACACGAAGCCCCTGTCGGCTGAAGCCGGTGTTTCTTCACTTCGTTGCGAAGCCGCGACCCAGGTGGAACAGAACAAGGTCGTGTCCAACAGCGCGAGCAACGACTGGACCTTGGAGTCGGAGCAGCGGATTTTTGAATCCGCGAGAACCGCTGCAGCGGAGGTCCTGGACGGAGACTTGGGAAGAAGTTTGTGAGATTTTATGTGTAGCTAACAATGTTCGCTACTGGGGGGTCCTGGCATCACTACTAGGAGCAAGGACGCTACTAGGGGCTCCTGGCCTTACTACTAGGAACAAGGTTCGCTACTAGGAGCAAGGACATGTAAAGATCGGTCGGTGGCTAGTTGTAGGGGACTAGACATGAGATCTGTGAGACCTGCCTGTTTCTCCCATTTCTGGACTTGATGTCTTGAGGTCACACAAGGGTTTGTGGTCGCCACGACTAGGGGGATCCAAGAGCGTCACGGAAAGAAGCTCCGAAATGTATCCAAAGGGAAGCTCACTTGGGCTTGGAAGTCTCTTGTGTCTATAAACTGTCCACACCCGATCCCCTTATCCCCACCACTGCAGGTCCGCTTTTGGGGTGAAGTGTCCATATTCCCTGCTTTTGTCTCGATGCACTGTCAAGGGCAAACAGCTGGCTCCTGTCAGGCAAAAGATGCATGATGACATATGATGACTCCTATGTCATGTTTCAAAAGCTGACATAGACATAGACATGGTAGTGTTTTCCCTGTTGCTGGAACTTGACGGAAAAAAGAACATGAATTCATCTTCTTGTCCACACCCAGCCCCAGTCCCATCCCAACGAGACGTTCGGGAATCGGAATCGGAGACGACAGTCAGCATGTGCGCAGGTCACCCTGCGTTGGCAACGTAGACGCTTTGAATTGATGACCCCCCCAACTTGAAGTGAAAAGCCCCTTCGTACCATTTCATATGGTTTATTATGGTTTAAATGCTATTTTATGTTTATGGTTGTTTAATGAAGAGTCTATGATCATGTCTTGTTTCAACGGCTTTCCTCCACAAGTGTTTCGATATGTTTCGATGGATGGATGGAGTGTTTGGATGTGGGACACTCAGCATGGAAGAGTCTTTTTCGCTCTTAGCTACAGTCTTTACCTCACTCACATTTTGGCACCCCGAGGCACCCCTACAGGGCGGTTCTGGGTATGAAAAACACCCCAAAAAGGCGCCGTCCAGCATGGGGAAAACCGTCCACCGTGGAACACCGCCGTAAGGCGCGGCGGCGAAGTGGTTTGAGACCCACCACCCTTGGACGTACGACAGCTTCACCGTGCTGCATATGGCCTGCGGCGATGGGAACGTTCCGGTAGTGCAGTGCCTGTGTGGCAGCAAGGCCAACGTGCATGCGGCCGAGGCCGGAGACCGGGAGACTCGGAGACGGGAGACATGACTCGGGAGATGGCCGAGCGGCCAAGCCTACACGGCGGCGATGCCACCCCTTTCTTTGGATGACCATGAAGCCGAATACCAAACAGTGCATGTCCACTCAATGATGATTTCTGGGCATGTAGACCGAAGGTACTGATGGGGTGTTTGGTGGATCTACCGATCTACCTCAATGTACATTCTGAGGACGCTGTTGGACCCCTATTGGCAAGTTGAGAATTTGGGGATCTGCCCTGTTTGCCATCAGAAGTTATTACGAAGTCATCTCTGTCAGAGTCGCACATAGCACGAGTTCGTGGTGATTTGGGGCTGTTTGGTCGCACCATGTGCCTGATTTGTGGAAGTTGTTATCTTCCTTGATGTGCGGTTTGCAAATGCCCCCCCCAAGCCCCAAGCAAGAAAATCAATTGGTGGTCTGACTCAGGGACACATTATGTGTCTGAAATGCATGTCCTCCGGCGCGCTGAGGGGCACTGTGGGGAAACATCCCTGCATTGGGCAGCGGCCAAGGGTCATGTCAATGTCGTGAGCATCTTGCTGGAAGCGAGAGTTGATGCGCACGCGCTTGACAAGAGTGGCCGCACATGTTTGCACAAGGCTGCTGAATTTGGCCAGGTCGCTGTGGTGGCATTGCTCTTTGAAGATGCCAACGAAGAGCCGAATGCGTGTGACCATACTGGAAGGACTTCCTTACACTTTGCAGCAAAATGTGGTCATGCTGATGTGGTAGCAATGCTCCTGAGAGCCAAAGCTGACGCTGCCGCAGGTGATCAGAATCATGAAACACCTTTGCACTGTGCAGCGGCCCAGGGCCATGCAGATGTGGTGAAGGCTCTGCTGGATGCCAAGGCAGATGCAAAAGCCTGTGACCTACCCAGGAAAAGTGGTAACCTTTAACCGCTTCTTTTGATTCGTGGACATCCCACTAAACAAAGTATCTTTCCAGATCGAAACGGCTTAGGAGTCATCCATCCTTTCCTTGCACACGTGCTTCCTTTTGATCCAGTTGATTTGGAACAAGTTTGATCCAGAACTTCTGACGGCGAAGTCAGGTAACAGCAAGAGTATCGACGCCGTGAAGCTCGCCATCGAACACCATCGAGCAGGGGTGATCCAAGTCCTGTGCCGCGCAGGGTTCTGGGACTCTCGTGCTGCGCTGGGAACCTGTCATTCTTGGGAGACACCTGAAGTCACGGCTAACCCACTTGTACAACAACTCAAAAGAACTCAACAATCTGTGGACCGCGCTAGTCACTCCAAAACGGAGAGTCAACAAGAAGGAACTTCCAAAAGCCTTAATCAAAAAGTCTCCAAACTTCCGAGGACTTGTCTTTGCTGGCCTCTTTGATCCGCGCGGAGGGACCTGATGCCAAGGAAGCCTTAGACGCCTGGATGCATCCGGCCAAGACCCGCGCGCGCGCCAAGATGGAACTCCATGGCCTGGATCGAGCTCACTTGCGCGAGCGGCTGCGGGTCGTGTTGGCGCCGGAAGATGCCAACCGGCCGGGGCAGGGGATTCTACGGGTGTGCGAGAGTGTCCTGGCGTGACGAGAACAGACGACACACATGTGCAAAAACACATCAAAAACACATGGAAGCCGTTGGATGGCAGGAGGTGCTGGAAGATCAATGATTGTTTTCTTCAAACAGGTCGTTTTCCATGGTTTTCCACCTCCATAGGGACAGAGTATAATGTTCTTTGCCTTGCCTGTGCGTAATTTGCGCTTTGATATGTTTTTTTGAAGATTGGTTGAGACATGACTGCGACATGTATTGTGCAACCATATGTGCACATGAGGTGGACATGAATGTTGACCTGCACGGCATACTAATGCATAGTGCACACTCACTCCCAGCATGAAGCCGTTTCCACCATGTGAATTGCAGATCTCCTGAAAGATGGATACACAGCAGTCATTGCAACAAAGGACTTGACCGTGGCGGTTGTGCCAGATGTGACCACAAGACTTGATTCCAGACATGTGACTCTGATTCAAAGACTTATAGCATTATTCACTATATATAAATATCATTAAATATCCGCAAATCATGCTACTGTAGATGAACCTCTTTGAAAGACCATTCCTGTCATTCCATGCTGTCTAGATGCCGGCCCGGCCGAAAACGAACACCAGGTTATGCCAACTTACAAAGCCAGAACCTCTTCACCGCGCCAAAAGTTCAGGCTTGGCATGGGGAATCAATGGGAATCATCTAAGTGGTTTCAGAGGTTCAATGGCGCAATCCCCAAGTGCATTGGTGTATTCGTTGGTTTATAAGGGCCCAAACAAATTCCAGACATTTTGGGATGCCAGTGCCATCGAACCTATGAAACCACAGTACATGGAACAAAACATGTTTCATTATTTTGTTTTGCCGCGGGATCCACTAGGTGTTGAGCAACACGAACAGGGGATAATAGCATAATGTGACCTGTTTGGTTGTTGCGTGGATTTACTCTCCCTAGAAGTAACGTGGAGGTGGAAAAGCCCCTGTTTCTAGAGGAAAATTGTCTTTCCAGAGACCATGCCATCCACGAACCATCTTAGTTCCAGGAGTGTAAACATATACCAGGGCCCCCTGTTTTGGGTGGTGAATGAGCACCCCTTATCACTTCCCTGGGGTTCGGTGAGGCTGCCTCCCTGTTCAGGTCAGTCTATCAGTTGTTCCTGGTCTCGTTGCGAGTGACGCATGTCGAGAAGAGCTGCTGGCCGCACTCGAAGAGACCGCCAATGAGAATGTCTTCCAGACGGACGTGGTTGAAGCCGCTGCTTATCGTGTTCAACCTGCACACTTTGTGTTAATCATGGAGTCTCCCAAGCGCCAAAGGATGGAACATGCCCCCCCAAACACAGCTGCTGTACCCATGTGGACATGGGTACAATTTGAAAGGCTGGAACGGTCAGCACCCTATTGTTTCATTCCAGACCACAGTTTCAAAAGTCACCTGTCCAAACTCCAAAATGAAAGATGCAGGAGCAGCAGCAGCATCAGGAGCAGCAGGAGTGTAGTAGTAGTAGTAGTAGTAGTAGTAGTAGTAGTAGTAGTAGTAGGAGTAGGAGTAGGAGTAGGAGTAGGAGTAGGAGTAGGAGTAGTAGTGGTGGTGGTGGTGGTGGCCGCAGCAGCAGCAGCAGCAGCAGGAGTAGTAGTAGGAGCAGCAGCAGCAGCAGCAAGCAGCAAGCAGCAAGTAGCAAGTAACAAGTAGCAGGTAGAAAGGCACAAGGTAGTAGGTGGTAGGCGGTAGGTTAGTAAGTAGTAGGTAGTAGGTAGTATGTAGTAGGTAGTATGTAGTAGGTAGTCGTAGTCGTAGTCGTAGTGGGTGGTAGGTAGGTAGGTAGGTAGGTAGGTAGCTGGGTAGCTGGGTACGTGGGTACGTGGGTACGTGGGTACGTAGGTAGGTACGTAGGTAGGTACGTAGGTAGGTACGTAGGTAGGTAGGTAGGTATTAGTAGTAGTAGTAAGTACTAAGTAGTAAATCAATAGACAAGAGAGACCTCAAAAGTATTCCTTCCTGGGATTCGACCTTGGGGCAGATGAATTGATTTGAATCATTCTTCAACGGGGAGAAACACTATGAAGAAGTAACGGGTTTCCAATTTGAGGCTTGTTCGAATGAAAACAAGAAGGATGAATAGTTGGACCCCTGAACTGAGTTAACTTGTTCAAATCATTCCATATAGGCACATGGGCGGTGTGATATTTGGCTTGCAGCTGTTCAAAGTACAAAAGCAACACATTGGTTCCACAAGCTCCTTTTCGTGGTTTGGACGGTTGTGCCCATTGCAGCAGGTTAATCAATCTCTCCTTCCCCCATGAGCCTCCATTTGGTTCTTTTTGTGTTTGCCTTTTGAGCTGTTTGTGGTCAGACTCGCCAGCTTTCCTCTATTCAAACATGTCACGACTCACGACCAACATGCGCCGCACAAATGTCTTTCTTTCTTTCCACTCTTTTCTTCGACTCTGTTTTCTTCAGCTTAGCGAGCAACGCACAACTCATCGGTCAGCTCAGCTCGCAACACGCACGCCCGCCTCTCTCAGGTTGTGTCCGCCGCGTGGATGCAGCTCCGCTTCTCAACCGCCTTCGAGATCTTCGTCAGCCTCGTGACCATTGTGTTGCTGTGCCACAGTTCCTACGCCTTTCGTCACGGACATCCGGAGGCAGTGGAAGCTTGGTATGAGAAAAACCGGTGACAGCTCCGGTATTCAAAGCGTATTTGTTCAGGACCTGAGATATAGTCATCTCATGTCATCTCCAAATAAATAGATAGAAACGGTTTCCAATACATTTTTAGTGGGGAACTACTTTGCTATCTATTTGGGGACCACTATAGTTGAACTGGATGTTGTGTTGGAAATTGGATTCTGATCAAGAGGAGACGGATTTGTTGTGTTCGCCAGCAAGGAGTACACACGAAGCTCAACCAGACAAACAGAATAGAAATCCACGGGTTGAATCTATTTGGGCACAATAATGAATAGTTATGTCTTGTTATGTCCTTTTTGTATCATGCGACCCCCACCTTTTGTTCTGTTGAAGAGGATGATATGCAGCTTTAAGGCCTCCTTGGTGCTTATTGGAGTGCTTCACATGCAGAAGTCCATTGAGGAATTCTGTCAGTATGTGACCTGGCCAAGGCTATCCAACAATTGTATTAAGCTTTGAGGGAACAACTTCTTGGTCTAAGGACTTTCCTTTGAGAATTTCTGGCACTGTTCCTTACTTTTTTGCTTCTGACCACTGCTTAATGTCATTTTAAGTCTGGCCATGACTGTTCCCTTTGGGATCGCCAGGATCGCGCTATGGTTCGCTATGAATGTTTGGTCTCCTGCTTGAAGGAACCCTGCAACACCAGGTTTGGACTGCAGCCCTCCAACAAAAATTCCTGCAATGCCTGGCAGGAAATTGAGGGCATCTACTGTACGTACGTAAGAGATCTATTATCACCTATTCTCGCCTTCTTGATTGTTTTTCATGAGTTTTGCCTCAAGTGTGGGGAGAGGGCGCTTCCGCCCAAGGTAACCATGTGTTGGAAGCTTCGTCTTCGCCTGCTGAACTTTGACAACGGCGCGGACATGTCGTACATCATCATCGGCTGGGGGGCGATTCTGCGACAAGCCTTGGACCAGAACCGCTTGGAGAAACCCTTTATGGCGATCTTCAGTGCCATGGCATGGCTTCGGGCCTTGTGCCTTGGTTTTGCTTCAGCGGATGTTGATGTTTATTGTCTATTTTATATGGGTCAAACACCTTCTGGAGAATATTTGCCTTCTTTTCCAGATTCCTAGAACAAAAACATACCAATCCCCAGGTACACTTTGCGTGGTGAAAGCTGGATGGGACCTCGCTTGCTGCCCATCTTGTCAGCCTTAAAGGACACCTTAGCCTTCTTTATCGTCACAGGGACGTGTATTCTGGCAGCCACCCATGCCTATTACAACCTCCAGCTCCGTGAGGAACCGATTCCCACCTATGGAGCCTTTTTGCAGGTGATGCTCCGGCTTGTGTTGGGGTTTTTTCCGGCGGTGTTGCTTTATTGGGACATGTTTCTTTTTTTTTCTGGGTAAATCCCAATGGCATGGCATGTTTGTTGGTTCCAATTCTGAGACAGCATATACCCATTTGGCACGTCTGGGAAAGATGATTTCTATGTTCCTTTCAAGCTTCCTTCAGGTTTCCTGAAAATCCGCATGAAAAGCAAGCTACAACGCGATCCGCCCCGCCGCGGATGCGTCCGGCCTTACGTAGGTGATGCGCCTGGGGATTTTTGGCGATTTCGATCTCTTTGAGTTCGAAGGAGTTGATCCCACCTACAAACTGGGCGAGGGCGAGGAATGGGAGCCGCAAGATCCGGAGCCTGGCGCGACCTTCGTGGCTTGGGTCAAAAGGATAGAAGATGAGTGAGGAAAGTTCAGGAACGTGATGGGGTAGGGTGGCAAAGTACCTGTAAACATGCCCTCCAATTCCGGTGGGGGAAGACCGTCCACCTCAATCATTTTAATAAATTATCAGGGGGGTGGGTGGACAGTCCCACCCCAGATGGTTGAGCGCATATTACAACAGAATGAATTCTACAGTGAACACCCTGAAAGTTGCACAGGGTATTGTTATTGATGGCCTTGATTTTCATACTGAGTCGACCTTGCATTTCCTCGTCATTGCAAGGTCGAGCCAATCGGTCAGTCTAATGACCTCATGATGTCAAGCAACATGTAGATTCTTCCTTGTGTCATTTTTGTTCAACAGGGTGTGGAAGTACTGTGAGGTCTTCCATATTTTTGCATGTTGTGTACAGTGTACATTCACTGGAAAATTCGACCTCAGATGTTTGACCTAAGGTTTGGGCCCATGCTCTCTTCTACTTTACAGGAATTGGCATCGCCATTCTCTTGATGAACCTCTTGATCGGCGTGCTGGGGCAGAACTTTGAACTCTATCAGGACCAGAGCGCCATGCTTTTCCAGAGAGCCAGGGCCAAGATGCTGCTGGAACTTCAGGCACGCCCTTGGAGGCACGGACTCAGCTCCAAAGACTTGGTCAGTTGGTGGTGCTTGAGAGGTAGCTTCTGATCCACCATGTGATGAGTGAGTGAGGTAGGCGAAAGCACCAGTGTCTGCGAAAAGAACGTAATATAGTTGCAGCCTGCTTCCTATGTGCAGATAGAATTTTGACAACATGTCTCCCAGTACTTTTAACATCATCCAACCCGCAGCGGTCGCTCCCCGAAGCAAGTGTTTTCATTTGGCTCCTGCTTGGAGGCACTGTGGAAGTTGGTTCATCAAGCATCTTCGAGAGCTTACCAGCCAGATGCGTAAGTCTCAATTTGGATGTGTGCTATATTGGTTGTGTGTTGGAGCCCTAGTGATGTTGCTTTTGCCTTGTTGGCTAGCCCTGGGCTCCTGTGTTGCAGCGGTGGCAGTCCTTTGTCGCATTATCTTCCAAATGCAACTGAGCGGCATGTTCCACGTCGGCACTAAGTTGGACTCGGCAAAAGCCTCGGTCGGAGTGTTGGATCATGTTGGATCTGAAGCTGCCGACGTTTTGAAGGGTCTGAAGCGACAAGGAAGAGGAACTCGCTTCACCAACAAGAACACCGTTCTTCGGCTTAGAGCTTACTGTACCTCAACAAACGCGTAGGTTGGTCCCAGGAAACGCTCTGATTATGGTTTACTGTACTCAAAAGTATATGCGCTACTGCGCTACAGGTTGAACCGTGATTGAAATGAAGAAATGCTCCCCAGTCACTGCTAGAGTCCTTCAACAAATTAACAGAAACAAGTTCAGCTTTTTGTAGTCGCTGCCCGCTAAACTCTTGATGAGCACAGCCGAGCACAGCCCCCAGGTTCTATTCTGTGGCTGTTCCGCTGGGCTACTGCGGATCTGGATACGATGACAATTCCAATCACAAGATTGATGAATATTCGAGCCCAGAGAAGAGCCACTCGGTTGTTCGGACCGGTGGCTTGGGATGTCGCCGGGTTCATCCAACATGGGAGAGCTCAGTAGGGCAGGCAGCCAGATTTGGGGGGCAACGTAGTTTCAAAGTGGATTAAACCCACAGCCCAAGAGGTGTTTTTGACTGAAGAAAGTGTACCATTTGCACTGAAAGTCCGCCCCGTGCAGATGTGATTGTTCTCGGCATCGCCATTGCAGGATTGTTCTCCACTGTTCAAGACGAAAGGTTTCTTCCCAAACCAAGACAGACGGTCATTGGAAACACTAGCCAGACGGTCCGAGGTGCCCAGAACTTCAAGCCGCATTCCCTGTAGAAGTCCTAATTCTCGAGCCCCTTGAAAACAAGCCCTGCGAAATCCTCTCCGCAAAAGCTGTGAGGCAAGATCTGGGTGGTGCTCCGCTGGGAGGCTCCCATGGAGGAACTGAGAAGTTTGCGCTCGGAGGTGAAGATCCATGTGAAGAGCATGCAGGGCGAGTTGGAGAGACACGGATAGACGATGGAAGGATGGTGATGGCTCGAAATGGTGATTGGGGCGATTGGCAGTTCAATGGTTGAAGAGCACCTGAAGAAAAAGTTTTACTATGTATTACTATATATATATACTGCAACATGTTGTTTGATTCTCTTGCATGAGCATCATTGTTACGTGTTTGTTTAAGAAGCTAGGGAGCACAAGCATACCCCGCATGCCTATTCCCCCCCAGAACTCGAATCGGAAAGACTCTTTATGGTCAGAACACTGGGGAAGACTGAGCCGTTCTTTTTTCAGTCCCGGGAAGGAACGACAGACGTCTCGCCTGTGAAAAAAAAACCGACGTCTCGTCCCCGAGAGATATGTACACTCCGGGGTCGACAACCACTCGCAGCGGATGTTTGACATCCGCTCCGACCTGAAGATCTTTTTTCGTGTGGTTGGGGTTCAGGCATGGGTTCAAGCTCGTCGCGCTAGTGTTGGTGGATATTGAGTCGAAACCCCTGAAAAGCTGACCATCTATGGTTTGGACCACGCAAAGTCAAACCCAGTCAAACCCATCCCCATAGATAGGCCCCCAAAAAAGCAGCAGCGAAGCAACTAAGAAGCGGCGCGCAAACACGATCAGCGGTGGAACCACGATCAGCAGAACCACGATCTGTGTGTTGTCAGGGTGTTTCTCGCCCCAAAAACGGTGCAGCATTCGTTCCGTTCCGTTCCGTTTTCGTTCCCAGGAAGAAGTTGCAAGGAGTGGACGAGAAACTTAAAGGAGTGGAGTACCTGGGCGAAAATCCACTGAGAAGCTGCACGGGACGCGTGTGTTTTGTTCTTTTGAAGGATGATGTGTTTCGCATTTTCTGTTGTGTTGTGTTTACGGTTACTTTTGGGATTTTTCTTATTGTTGCTTTTCTTGCTCTTCGTTGCTTCTCTATGATTTCTCCTGCTTTTTAACTTTTCCTGCTTCTTTGCGCTTGCCTTGTTCCTGGCTTTTCTCCTGCTTTTCTTTGCTATATGCTTATCGCCTTCTTGTGGCGTATTGTTTCCCTGTTTTGATTGCTTGTGCTTTCCATTGCCTTTGTCGCCGTCGCTTTGTATTCGTCGCTTTTCGTGCCTTGAGTTTGTGGTGCTCTATTCTTCCTTTTTCTGGCTTTCTATATACTTTTGCAAACAATAGCTTTCCGCTTCCACTGAAGGAACTATAGAGAAACTACGCCCGCTAAAAAATCCCAAACACAACGCAAAGAATTCCCCAAATAAAATATTGCAACCTTTTCTTGCAGGCTGCAAAGGTTGGAAGAGGTAAACAGAACACATCAGAACACATTTTTTGGGGAGTCTGCTGGTCACTGATTTTTATGGCTTTTTGGCTGCTGGCCAACAAATTAAACTTCACAACTCATGGGGCCATGGCTTCAAATGGCTTTATGACGTCCAACCGTCCACCCCAAATCAGGCAGGTAATCACCTGTGTGTTTTGGATGTCGCCACTCGTCCCGAAGCCGAAACACGCTGACGGAACGAGGAACACGCTCCAAGATCTGTCGTCGGCGCAGAAGGAGATGGAGATGCTCGGCCCCTTCTGCGACGTGAAACACGGGGATCTGGGATCGGACTCATTCGGCGTTTCTGGGGTTTTGCGGCAGGGTTTTGCCAATGTGTTGTTTTTCAATTGTTTCAGGTGTTTCTCGGGTTTCTTGCAGCATCAATTCAGGGTTCAGTTTTTTCAATTGTTCAGGGGTGATTTGTTTTGACTTCCACCAGCCTTTTGTGGTATCAAAAGTCTGGCCTGGAGGGGCAGGACGGACTGCACGATGCAAAATGTCTTCAGGTGTTTTCGGGCGCTGCCGAAGAACTTTCCACTGCCTACTGTAAGATTTTTCAAGTGAGTTGAAACCACTAATCAGCTTCTGTTTTCAGGTGTTTGAGTCTCAGACACACCAAGATGTGTCCTCCTGATCTTTATGTCACAGTGAGAACTTCTAGGAACTTGTTTTTACACTCATGAAGACCAACATAGACCATGACACTGATCCCCCCTGGGCTTCAAGTGTGTTCCTCCTCCCGTAACCAAGCAGTAGTGTGTTCCTCCGTCCATGAGATCGTCGCCACCAGCGGGGTAGATTGGAGAAGTGAACGTTCTAAGAGGTCCATCGTCACGTCGCGTGAGGAAATCACTGGAGCAGTTGACGAACGAGCAGAACTGCCCCAATTTTGACATGGAGTAGCTTGGTCAGATCACCCGTTTGTTTTTTTTTTTTTAAATGTGTTTTGTGAAGAATCCAATCCCAAAAAGACCACATGGGCTACATTCCAGATGTGCTTAATTAGGCATAAACATATGATAACAAACAAGGCGCCCGCTGTTCTTTTTTTTCATGCGCGCCGTGGGTCGTTGGCCGGCCTAATTCATCACATCGCGTACGCTTCTCATCAACCAGCGGAGCTAAGCACTAAGCTGAGGTCAAAGATGGAGACGTTGACCAGCCTGGTGCGGCAGTTGATTTTGCAGGGCCAATCTGTTCCAGAGACGGAATCTCATCCAGAAGGTTGAAGAGTGGTGCTGGAGAAGTTGCGATGAACTGGACTCAACTTTGAGTCAGCAGATTTTTGGATTGAATTGTGTATACATAACCCAAACACTCCATGTATGCCATATATGCCTACATTGACCCTCAAAACCACCCCAATGTAGGCGTATATGGCATACATGGAGTGTGTGGGTTATATTAATATATATGCGTTGAATTTGTGGCGGCTTCCTGTAGGATACCCCTCCAGGTTGACCGGAATCTTCAGGGTTTGTTTGCCCTCGTGTATCCGGATTAGACAATCCAAGTGAGGCCAAAAGACGAGCAATTGATGCCTCTTCCACAAGCTCGTTGACCATAAAAATTGGAGGAGATGGGACTTTGGAAGAAGGTCGAGGTGCCGCAGATTTGCAGGTCGAGGAATTGACCGGATTGCTGAAAAACGTTCCATTGAGCTTGCATCACGGAACTCGTTGGAGAGAACTGCTGCTGCTCACGTTCCATCCGAATCGTGGGCAGCTGGATTGATGGTAGAATTGTTTGACTGGACTGACTGGATCTCCCGAAAAGGGCGGCCATGTGTGTCTTGAAATCCCGTTGCAAAGCAATGTGGGATGAGGGGCTCGAGCTTGCACCATATCCCCTGCGTCTGTGATTTGCCATGTCCAAGTGTGACCTGCGTAATTCGCTGTGTTCGCAATACTTGATGTGCATGTCACGACATTGTCCCGTCAAGCAGTGCGTCCGTTTTCACGACCAGATGCTGAGACCTCGCCAAGTCCAAAACGTCGCGGCGTCGTTCCGTTCCGTTCCGCGACGTTTAGGCGATGGAATGGGGAGAAGGGAGGGCGAGTCGGAAGGGTTCGGGGTTTTCGGGTGCGGTTTTCAGGGAAGGGTTGGCCAAGATCGAGGTTGGTTGAGGGGGGGTGACAAGGGATTTTGCGAAGCCAGTTGGTGACCAATAGTGTACAGGATTTGGAAGCACCCAGAACTTGCTTTGTGTTAGGGCCTTGTTGGAGACTAATTCTTAGACCCCTATTACTTCACAGTCTTGGAGGGGTTCGAGTATTCCAATCCTCCGCCTGGCAGCTCCTAAAGAGTGTTTGTGTTTTGAATTAGTAACACTAAACTATGGATAAACTCCCACGAACTTCTTGCAACATTTCTGCGGTTTTGCCATCGCAGGGATGGCATAGATTTGTTGGATCCATTCCTGACTCAAATCACCTGAGCTGCAAAGGTGGGAAACTGGGGGGGTACATTGCAACTGACTCGGGTGTCGATATGTGTGACACCCAGCCTGACCTGTCGACATGTCAGGGATGGTGTCGACATCTGAATCGGATGAGGTTTGTTTCTGGTTGAGGCTGTGGATGGATGTCATTAGATCTCCGCAAGTCCTTGGCTTCACAAGTACCACACTGTCTCCGCACATGCGAGCGGTCATGGGCAAAATCTGCGCACAGAACGTGCACAGAACTGGTCGTAGACGATTGGAGGTGATTAGGTGATTTGTTTTGCTGGTTTCAGCTCCGCTGTGGCAGTGCTTTCAGCTGGCAGTGGTTTCAGTGGCTGTCACGTGGAGTTCTGGAAACGAATCCCATCTATATTAGGAGCTGTAGACATAAGCCAAGAGTATTGGAGGGAACTTATTGGTCGAAGATACTTCATGATAATTCCATTCCAAAACTGTGGATAGACTTCTGTACTGGCTCCCGAAATCCAAGAACTCCTTCATCACCACATGTTCTTTATACAAACCTATCCCTCAAAGTCCAGTTCGACTGTTGATTTGCCCCAACTGAAGTACAGGACGTTCCCAAACAACTCGGGTTGCCTAGTCAGACCATTGCTGAAAATTGGTCGAAGTTATTGGGGTGGTGCCGGATCTGGCATGTCTCCAGGCGGATGTCAGGCGAGGACGTCGGACCGGATCCTGCTCGGCAGAGTTGGTCGTCGCTCCGTTCTCGATTTATAGCATCTTTGAGTCGGATGTGTTTCTACTTATAGGGCCGCTAGTAGCCACTGTAGGAGCGAACGTGAGATATTATGAGTATCCCAGACCATCCATGCATGGAATGACGTCGGCCCCAATGTAAGTACCCACGGCCTCCAGTTACCACTATAGCTGGTATATAAACAGTGGTTCCAAAGACTAAAAGCCATGGACCGAACGAATCCCTGGTTCCTTAGTACTTGTGGTTTGCCTGGGATGCACTGGGGTAACTATCTCATAGGGTCGTACCTCGGTAGCTCCTTTTCGGATGGTCTTGGAGGTGAGGCCTCGTGGCTTCCGTCTCGCCGAGGGGGTGTGGCCGCACCTCCATCCGAGCAACGACCGGATGGGTCCTGGACGAGCTCGCTTCGGATGGTCGAACGGGATACGACCGTGGCACACGAGGTATATACCCCCTTACAACATCTTACCCTTGGGTGGTGTATTCCTGTTGAATCCCAGATGCATAGCAGTGCAGTTCCACTTGCAGTTCCAATAGAAAAGTCCATACAAGTCTACCCACGGGTTTGGATATACTTGTTTTTTGTATGGACTTGCTTAAGAGACTTCTGTAATGGGGTTCCAATGGGTGGAAACAGTTTCAGTTGGGCATCACCTCCTCCGGCTTGAAAGGACGACCATTTATCCAAAGACCAAACAGCTGGTGGAACACCATCCCGTGCACCAACTTGGAGTTGCTTCAAAACATGTGTTGTTCCACGGTGTGTTGTTTCTTCAGTTCGGTGTTCCAAGCCACGTGCCTTTCGGTGTTTGGTTTGGTTTCCCACTGAGCCGTCGTTTTCGTGGCGGCTGAAATCAGCCGTCTCGGCAGGAGACACCCGGAGCGGCCGCGCGGCACAAAGGACGCCTGGGCGCCGAGTTCGGAGTGGGTTTCGAGACGGAGATGGTTTTGCTGAGTTGAGGTGATTTTGTTCATTTTCCCGAACTGTGTAAATCCTTTGGCATGGGAAGATGCTCTATTTGTTCAATTTCCAGGACAGCAAACAGCTGGCATAGCTTTGGGACACCAAGCAGTTGGTTGAACAGTTTGTACCAAACCTGGGCGATGGTGTAACCAGTTGACAAAGCAAACTTCAACAAACAGATTGCTTGTTAATGAAGTGTGCTTGCTACATAGTCCGACTTGCATCTGTGGAGCGTACAGAAAGGGCCCCGCTGTTTTTGCAGTTTCAGTTTGCAGTTGTAGGTTATCCTGGTTTCATGTTACATGTTCCGCCATGTTCCACTTTAGAGGATGCAGTATCTTGTGGACAATTGGTTTGGATATCGACATAGCATATAGGAACACCTCTTGGAATCCAGGAATTTGTACCAGGGCGTGGCATTGGTTCGAAAAGTGGGGTGCGACGTATCCGTCGATTGAATTGATTGTCCAATTGGCCACATCTTATTCCCAAACACTCTATGTATGTATGCCATATATGCCTACATTGACCCCCAAAACCACCCCAATGTAGGCATATATGGCATACATGGAGTGTGTGGGTTATTCCCAAACACTCCATGAACGGACATGAGAGGCCGACCTCGCCACCTTCACTGCTCGGTACACATCGTACGCATCACGGATGGTCAAGACGAGTATGTTCGAACGAGCGACAATCGAGTGCCTCCAAATCGATCAGTAGGTGTCTCCAAACAGCCTTCGCGAGAATTAAACACCCAGGTCAGCATACATGGTTGGTGTTCCTAAGCATTTGTTTGCACCAGTGGGAAACATATGGTGAACTTGAAACCAGCGGACCAGGTCTTATTTCTTCAGGAAGGTCACTTTGCTCAGTTGGGATGTTTCTGTGGGCTCAGGTGGTTTGGACTCAGTTGGAATGCTGCGGAGAAGAGTATAGTAGTATAGTAGTAGTATAGTAGTAGTAGCAGGAGTAGTAGTAGTAGTAGTAGAAGTAGTGGTAGTAGTTGTAGTGGTAGTGGTAGTGGTAGTGGTAGTGGTAGTGGTAGTAGTAGTAGTGGTAGTAGTAGTAGTGGTAGTAGTAGCAGCAGCAGCAAGTAGTACCAGTGCCAGTACTATAGTACTACTATATAGTATGTATACTAGTAGCCTCAGCATCCCCAGGTAGTATGTACTGTTTAAAGGAACCAGGGGCCCGGGTTCGGTGGATGGTTTTGCGCGGAACCACTGGGACTCCCAGCGACATCGGTCGGTCTCCTGAGGCCGTTCCTCGCATCGATGCCGCCGCCGCGCGCCAGGTGGGGGCGGTTGGGGGGTACCGTGGGCGTTTCGGAAAGCGAGGGAGGCCAGAATGTTCTTGCAGATTGAAGCAGATGTGATATGATGTGATCATATTAACGTCTATAACAAACACCAGATTCAGCTTCTTCAACGTTGGGGGCTGTTCTACTGCGACGACGGTACTCGGACGATCGGTGTGGATCGATGCGGATCGAACCGAGCGGATTGCACGCGTTTTGGGGTTGAAAAAGGTCCTGGTTCGTGTGACCGAAACCGCACAAACATCGAATGAGGTATACGGTGAGGAAAATCGAAGTGGAGAATCCGGTGCAATCGAAAGATGGACCAGCGAAACACTGTGTTCCGCTGATTCGGGGGGTGGACGGCTCCAGGAGTGCATACAAACAGCTCGTGAGAATTGGTCGTTTCGGTTTTGGGATGTGGTGCAATTGATGTGTGCTACGTGCCAAGGCTGCTAAGTTCTTTTCTTTGGGCCTACTTCTTGGATGCGGAAGAAGTGTGTTGGGGGGGGCAATCCTGCATCAGACAAGACACGTTTGAAAGTTGCTGTTTCACCGGTCATCGAATCTTTAGGGTTCCAAGTAGCTTCTCAGAAGGTACTTGGACCCTCCAAACCTACATGAGAGTGTCTCACCTTCTGAGAAGGTACTTGGATCCCTAGGGAGTAGGTTTTCCCCATCGATGCTTGAAGCGATGCGAATGTTGGTTTTCTATTCGTGTCAACGACGAGAACGAATCGCGATTGTTGGGAACTGCTTGCCAGTGCATCGCATGCCAAGCCAGAGGGTGCGTGATTTGATTCCCAAGCAAATGCGTGCAGATCCTAACAACTATTTGGCGTGTGTGTATGCAGTTTCAAGAAATCACAGGAGCATAAAGGCCGTCAATTGCCTCCAGCTGTCATCAATTGCTCATAGTCCAACCATCGCTGGTATCTCATGAGCACCGCCGCCCTTCAAACTTGGCAAACATGTGCCCACTTCAAGGGAGATTCCAGGCACGATTGGCCAGTGAATCACAAAAGCATTGCCTCGTACTGAAATATAGTCCCAGAGCTCTGTGAGTAAGGGAATCAGGGGAAGGTGGTGATGAACTTGGAAGGTGAGAATGATGATGACCCTGATGAGGTGGACTTATGTGTTTTTTTGGAATTAATCAAGGTCGAGGTTGATGATGATGATGATGATGATGAAGTTGAAGGGTGTCATCGAATCGGATCCTTCCTTGCCTTATCAGTTGAGAAGATGCAGAAAACAGGAGACCAGATTTTCAAGAAACGTGACAGCGTTCCGTTCCGGGCTTGACGTTTATGCCAGTATATCTCAGTACATGCACGATGGAACAGATTCTCGATTATATGGACCTCACTTGGGGACTTCACTTCGGCCATGCCTTCCGAAGTGCCAATCCGCGGGCGAACCTTTTGGCATTGACTGGAGCCGCAAGGGCTGTCAATGCCAGGCTGAAGATGCCCCTAGGTCTCCAAGTCCCTTCTAAGAAGGTGTTTAGGGTGGGTTTAGAGGGTCCAGGTACTTGGAGCCCTAGGGTGCTTGTCTTTGGGT